AGAAAGGACAAAGATAGATTAGAATAAGAATCCCTAATTATCACCCAATAAGAAAAATTAGGGTTAGGATCCAACAATAACATTTACATACTAGAAAAGGGATGTCGTAATCTAACATGTAAATAAATTGAAGGTAAGTGAATGATGATTCACTAATTCTCCATCACAAGACCTAAACTATTAGTCCTAAGTGTATTGAGAATTCCTAGGTTCGGATGAGATTCATTGAAACTATTCAATGGCATGTTTAAATCTCGATATGCCCCTCTTGTTTGTGATTGGGATACCGAGGATCACAAAGCGGGTGTGAATTACCTTTCAAATTCACATGGTGCCTTCATTGTAACGATCACCTATTCGATGTGTCGGTAAACCACACACGCTCCATCGAACTATGATAAACAATGAATCACCCTTTGCCACATTTGCTTAGAACCAATTAGTGTGCCGGTAAACCACACACGCTCCACTAACTTCTTAGCAAGGGTGCAAAGTGTAATTTCATGGGATTGCATCAATTCACTTTTCCTAAAGTAACTAAGATTGGGAAATTTTAAAAACGTGTAGTTACTTTGTATTACTTATTATACTTTTAATGAGAGGATGAGGTTGCCCTATCCTACCCGTTCGGCTAACGACCCTCCACCAATCAAGCAAGCGGTGGGTGTGAGTGTACACTCATTAAGCGCCATTTTATAGGCCGCAACCTTATACCCACCTTATAGATTAGCTTCGTGAATGAAGCCTACTAACGGTAAGACTAGCATTTAGTTATATATATATATATATATATATATATATATATATATATATATATATATATTATTCTAGTAATATCATATTAGTATAGGGTTGTGTTTTAAACCTTTTAAAACGTAGGGTTTGAAATTTAAGTTGTCTAAATTAAAACTTTTAATCACAAATATAAATTTCAAAACGTGAGGGCAAGTTTTAAACATTTAAAACATGGAGGATCAAATAACAAATAATTCCAATTAACAATTAATATCCTAATTATCTATATTTGATTTATCCAAGATTTCTTTTAAGATAATTACCAAAATAATCAAAATAATCAATTAATTATCATATAAGGAAATTAAATATTTTATTAGATGATAAATATCTTTAATTAGATCAAGATTATAGTCATATATATCAAAAAATTGGATTAGGGTTGATCTAATATGATTGAGGTAAGTTTCCATAAGATAAACATGAAAAAATCCCAGTTTTGGCTAATCCTGACGCCCAGACTCGTCGAGTACACAAAGGGACTCACCGAGTCATGCCTACTCGCCGAGTCCACTTTGGAACTCGTCGAGTCCATGACTCAGAACCCAAAAATTCGAATTTTGCAGGTTTGTTTCAGTTAATCAAGCAACAATTTAAAGAAAACCAAGCTAGGCTCTGATACCACTGATGGGTTTTAGCCATAAGAACTTTCCTATGTGCGCATGCAAAACCCTAATGCTCGGATCTAGGCTTTCTAATTAAACATGCTTTGAATCCAAGACTTCCAATGCCTAATTAGGTTAAATAACTACATTGAAATAGATCTAGAACCATACCTTTGAATTCCTTGATGATCTTGTAGTCTTGGAGCTTCTAGAGTCACAAATGTCACTCCTCTAATGGCTTACAAACACCAATAGCAAGGAAGATGATTTAGGAGAGAGGAGAGGGGAGGAAATCGGCCAGAGTTCTCTTACTTTAGATGAGATGTCAATTTCCCTAACCCATAGGGTCTATTTATACTTGCAGACTCCTTAAGGGTTACAGTCTAAACCTTAATTGGATAATCTTCTCTTAAGGCTATCCAAATCCGTTCTTAGATAACATCATGGACGATTTTGAGCTATCCTTTAGCTCCTAGAATTCGTCCAATCCATATCTATATGGATTTACAGTCTCAAGTTTAACTATCAAACAACTGAGAGCTTATACCCTCTTATTTAATTAATCTCTTTAAGTCACCAAATTAATACTAATTAATCTATGACTTATATTAATCAAATAACTATATATATTATTCCTTATAATATTTACTCTCTCTTAATAAATCATCCCATCAAGTTGTTATGGTGAAGGCAACCCAAAAGGACCATGCACAACTGGGTCAAATACTTACCTAATATAGTTGCAGCCTTAGACACTATTCCAACAGGTTTATCTCCTAATTTGTATCGCGTTGTTCATTATATTCATGGAGTTGTTGTCATCAGGGTGAGCCTTCTCTCGAAGGAATATCTAATTCCTTTGGTTAAGTGAGAAGTTGTCAGCAACAATATATGGTCTTTGATTCTATTTTCTAGTGTGAACCTTAGGTAACCAGAAGTTGGGTAGTCATTTTGGGAGACAAGTGGAATAGATTTAGCAATAGTTTAGTATGGGCGGTCTGTCAGGGAGTCTGACCAATTCGATACTTCAAATGCCAGGTAGAGTAAAAGTGGTTATTCTGTAAGGGATTGTTTTAGGCTGAGAAAGGATTCGTTCATCATTGGGTTTGGAAATCCTTTCTAGGGTTGGTTCGGTTGCCTTTTGTTGGTGTATTGGCAAACACCGTAATGGTTCGAAGTGGACTTAGGAGCCATAAGATAAGATGAGGGAGTATTATCCAGAGTTATTTGGGGGAACGGACTTTAAGGACGAAGTCTGATTCAAGTGGGGGAAATTTCAACACTTCAATTGGGGAATGTTTCCTTTTAGCCCTTTTTATTTCAAAATATTTCAATTTGGTCCTTGTAGTCGTACGTGGGGCATACCATTAGGTACGCTTGGCGTACTAGATGAGAAGCTAGTATGCAAGGTGTACCACATGGTACGCTTAGTGCACTAAGGAGGGGTGATCGCGTATCTGAGGCCTCATACGCTGGGAGTTCTAGGGGCTTAAGAAAACCTTGGTTTTGGGGTGTTGTACCCAATTTAAGCACCTTAAGTTCCTAGGGTTTGTCTCTTTATCAGCCTATATTGTCCTAAAACCCTAATAGCATCTTTAAGTGTGTTTGAGCCTTGGTCTTGATTTTGGTGGTCTATACTCCTTGAAGTGTTAGAAGAAGAACAATTTGGAAGACTCGTTCATTAGAAGGAAGCCTAGAGATCCAGATTTAGCTCCATCTTTTGGTGACTTTTGATGTGTATCTTTCATACCTTGATCTTTGTATTAGATCTCTTCATGTTATGGTTTTATGATTCTTTGTCCCTTTTTGGTTGGTCTTGATGGGTTAAGGCCATGTTACAAGCTAAATCTTGTAGATTTGAATGTTTAGAGAGTTCCTCAAGCTTAAAGGTACAAACTTTCTGGTGTTTATGGTCTCATGCATGAATTAAGTCATTTATTAAAGTATTTTGAGCTCTAAGAGCCTCATTAAGCCATGCATGCATGTAAAGTTGGCAACTTTACGTGATAAACCATCATAAGGAAGGCATATCTGATTTTGGATTGGGGTCTTAATCGATTAAGAGATGGAAAGGTGAAGGTTAGCCAAAATGGGGGAGTACGTTGGGCGTAGAAATAGGTACGCTTAGCGTACAATCCCTAAAACGAGTACGATGTGCGTACATGCTGAGTACGTGTCGCATACTCGGCGAGTTGGGCTTCAGACATAAGGGCTTAGCGGTGTTGGGCTAGGTTGGGTTTGTGATGTCTTTGGCCTTGTTGGGCCATCATGATTCACTTGTTGGGCTTTTGGAATTCTATTGGACTCCTTGGTTGTAGGCCCATGAAAGGGATTTCGGATCAATTTGGAAAATTAGGCCATATTGGGCTTTGAGTGATTATTATGGAATTTGGGGCCTTTGGTCATTTGGGTTCACTACTAGAAAAAAGGCCTTTTACGACGCTCATTGCGCGTCGTAAAACACTCAAACGATGTGCAAATGCGTGTCAAGGAAGGCCCTGTCAAAAAGAGAGATGACGCGCATTTACGACGCGCGGTTATGACACGCAATGCGTATCAAGGAAGGCCCTGTCATAAAGGAAGACGACACGCATTTGCATGTCGTAACCTTAGGACGCGCGTGTTTATGACACGCAATGCGTATCAAGGAAGCCCCTGTCAAGAAAGGCCATGTCATAAATGAAGATGACACACATTTTTGCGTATCAAGGAAGCCCTTGTCATAAAGGTAGACGACACGCATTTTGCGTGTCATAATTTTAAATATTTTGAAAATTATATATTTTTTGATAGATTTACTAATTTTCAAATTAAATAACACATTAAAAGTCTAATAATACAAAATAAAATACCATAAACACTAAGAATAATTCATTGCACTAATATGTCAAATACAAATAATCATTCCAATATTAAGTAAATGTAACACATTGCTAATATTTCATAATATTTATTATACAAGAAATATGAAAAAATTGAAATCCCTGAGATTAAAAGTACTAATAGAAGCTTCACGTGAGATACATACAGTTGGACCAGTAAGCAAGGATGTTCCCGAATCCATAATAACAGCACAAGAACACGTAGGCGATATCTTCTGCTAGAAGTTGTCAATCCAAAACTATTGTTGAAGGTTGGCATGATAGCTATTAAGATTTGAGCATAACAAGAAACCAATCAATGTTAGGAACTCAAAATTTACTGCCACCATTATCATGTATACTCTGGACAAAAAAATAAATATAAAATGGAAATGAGTCAAAAGTTTAACTGTTTGGGCTATTTTTGTGTTTTTTTTTTACAATTTAATTTCACCTTGATGGCATTCTTAATTTCTGCAAGAACTAATGGTATTATTTTTACAACTTGGGCATATGAATACTTATTGGGAAACGCATCAACAATGTCATTTTGGCTAATGTCAATCATATAAAGTGCTCGTTGAAACCCATCATCATTTATCATCTTTTGTAAACTTGAATATATCACCTCAAAAAACTAAATTTACAAATCCCAAAATTGAAATTTTTAGGTAAGATAAATTGCATGATATAAAAATCAATTGATAAATGGCTTTTTATGGTAGGAAGGGCATAACCGTCATTCGGACATTCCTATGATAAACCTATAAAGTTCACATGAAAGCTCTCTCAAGGCTGTGGGCAAGTTTAGTTCAGGCTCAGAAGTAGGAATATCCAAATTTGGAATATCCCACTGTCAGATCCAAGAAAAAAGAAAATCAATTATTGAAAATTTTAAAATCATATTTCACAAGGAGTGTTAATACTTAAAGAACACAAAAGGGTACCTTGGGCGCAAAATCTTTGGAAACTAATCTTGCATATCTCTATCAAAAGGTAAAAGCTTTCAAGTGTATGTGTCACACATGAAACAAAACAGATAAAGGAATGTGTATATATAACATGGCTTTCAAAATTCACTTGATATTTACTCACTTGAAGATCTGCAAACACTTCAAATGGAATGTTGGATCATTTTCACTGTTACATAAATTATGCTTTGTAGAATTACTTGTGCACATGACAAGTTAGCACATGAAATTTGTGAATTTTCGGGCTAGTTTGCACTCTTGTACTAAGCTGAACTTTTGTGCTTGGAATTAAGTTAAGCCCTTGGTAAGGATGAAAATAGACTTCCATACCTGATTATAGGCTTTTACCTCATGGCATTTGGAGCCTTTATGAATTTATTATGAATTTTCGAAGTTGATTGATGCAAACAGTGGGCTGCATGGACCAGTTTGCAAAGATTGGTACTTATACCCTTAAAGGAATTGGAATTAGGAAAAGTGGTCCAAAGTTCAGTGAAACTAGATACACTAACCTTTCCAGAAAACTATACTTCATGATTTTTGGACAATCTGATGGCCTTGTATGATTTTTATAAGATAAGACAGATTGCAGCAACGTGCTGAAACATTTCATGACAGCATCAAACAAAATGGGATAAACAACTCACATAAACTCAGAATCAGGATAGGAAAACAAAGAAAAAATGTAGTAGACATTCATACCTTTCCACAATGAAAACCCCATTAAAATTCTCAACCTAACACCATTGCCCTTTCTATGGCATGAATTACCATTCTGCCCTTCTCTTCTTCCTCATTTTCTGCTGCATTTTCAGAAAGAAAAAAAATGTGTGGTAAAGATGGTGAAAATCATGGTACTTAAGTGCTTCAGAAAATGATGCAAGAAAAATCACTCTAACAGAATACCAATTGAGAGTCATTCCATTCCATCAAAATCCTTTAAAAATAATGTTTGTTGGGATTTCTGCAATATTTCTGTAACTGCTTCATTCAAATATTCCCTAAAAATCATGTAGCTTTAATATAATCCACCTTCTATTGCTACAACTGTTCTTCTCATTTTCCCATTTTTTCCACTTTTAACCCTTCTACTTGTAATCACTGCAGTCCCATCCCTACCAATCTTTTTCAAAATTCCCCCAATGCCCGCTGCTGCTAACCTTGCAGCTCTTCTTGTCACCACATCACATATTTTCACCACCAGTTTTCTCACTTTCAGTGGAACATCATTTATCTGATAATGAATTAATTTTGTCAAAAAAGAAAATAAACCCAGATTCAAAAAAGTATTTTTTTATATAGAAACTAGGAAAATCTTACATTTAGGGTTTCTTCAAGAATCTTGGCAACTTCACTTGGGTTTGGGGTGTCATCTTCATGCATAGCAGCCATTAATGGTGTACTGAGTATTTTTAAGAAACAAAATATGAATTTATCTTTTTTGTAATCCCATTTGCTGAGAACTTTTTATCAATCTAAACAATGCACTTTACATTTCTACCCCTACATTGGTAAAAAGAGTAAAGAATTTTGTTTTATGACATACCTTAACATGAATCTTGCTGAAAGCTTAGAGGAAACTCATCCAAAAATATCTGATTCTAATGACACTTTGTGAATTACTCTTCTAACAATGTCACCTAAATACATTCCCGATATCATTTTCTCAAAACCCTGTATTATTAATCACAAAAATCATATTAAGTAAAAAAAATATGGAAATTACAGAGTGAAAATTATCTTGGATAAAAATAATTAAATTAACCTGATCATTTGGGTTATGACTTTCTGCATCAAGATCAATATCATAATCAGTTCACTACTAGAAAAACAACCTTTTACGAACAAAACAAAATATACTGTAATAACAACTTACTGGCAGCTGGTATTCTGTTTTGGAATCTCTACGCCCTCCTCTTATGGCAAAATGAGCACAACCAGGATACTTCCCATGTCTATAATTCCTCCCTCATCAACAGTTTCATTTGCCAATATTTCATATAATTCAGAAATCAGTTGTTGCACCTACAAGTCATCAACAATGATTATTAGTATGAGAATGCCTGACAAGGGTATTCTCGTCTTTTGCACTTTTTTACCTCAGGGAATCAATAAGTCCTTCAGGTATGAGAATAACACCATAGTTATAACCAAGATCTGCACGTTTACAGATTACATCTGCTATGTAATTTGTAACCTTTTTTAGTGTCAATTTCTTTGATGCAACCTGTAAGAAATATGACAAAAAAATAATTAGTGAGTCTCTAAAAAAAATAAAAAATAAATTGAATTGTGTACCTCTTCTCCAATAAGAGTGATGTTTGGATGAGTTTGTAAAGCACATTCTAATGTAATGTGGGAAGCAGCACGTCACATAAGCCTTACAACTGCATACATACAATACAACCTTATAATTAGCAACCATGTGAATATTCCTATTTCCTTGGTCAAACGTTGACCAAATTTATTTTTTTATTTTTACAAATTATATGAAAATATAATATTCCAGATAATGAACTTACAGTGATAATATTTCCCTGTGGAACGTGCATCTATCATAACATTTCCCGAAATCCCCCTGAAATACATTTAATAACAAAAGCATGATTGCTGGATATCTTTGGTCTGCGGAAAGACTGGAGCAAGTATATACCAAGTTAACACTTAACACAATTCACCATTCATTCTCCACAAACATTCAATTATTCAAACAATCTTAACATTCCCTTTTCAGAAACTGAAGATATCCCAGTTAAAGAAATAGAATCCACCATAAACACCCCCTTTACAGAACCTTTTATCACTTGAGGTAAAATGGTCAAGAAAAAAAAGAAAAGAAACAGAAATTGTTGGTGTTGGTGTTGGTGATTTGACATGATGAACCTCCCAAGATAGGTGACAATTCTTTAGTAGCAACTTCTCCTCATGTTTGAATTTGTAATGCAAATGTTAAGAGGTTCTGAATCAAATGTATAGGATTATCCATAGATTTGAGCTTGCCTTTGCAATAGTATAAGCTGAGGGTCGAGCATTCACAGCAAGGGGACCTCTGTGAGGTGGCCCTGTTGGTCTTCCACCACCAAATGATCTTCCTTGACCTCGACCACCACCACCACCACGAGCCCTACCTCTCCCTCTATTTCTAATCTTCTTCAAATAGATTTTGGTGTGAGACTGGATCAGCTGCTGATGCAATCGTATACGAATCGACAAAATCAAGCAATTGAAAGAACTGTTATAGGATCACTGGTGATCTAGGGTTCGAGCATGAGAAAGAAATAGGGTTCGAGCATGAGAAAGAACTGTTATAGAGATGTAGCAAGGTACGAGGTGAGATATGGGATTCGAGCATGAGAAAGAACTGTTATAGGATCGCTGGTGATTGGATTTCATTGGAGGGTGGAGATGCAAAAGAGAGACCACGCAGTAGAGAAAGGCGAGGCAAGTTCTTCACAAAAATCCCTAGCTCCGATTGGATTCCAGCATCGACGAGGCCTTTGACGCTGGTTTTTGTTTGGTCGAAAGCTTTGAGCTCTGATTGTCGATCGTAGCTTGAGCCCGCTCAAGCAATGGTGGCAGCCATTTTTGTGAAGATGATCGTGTTATATATGCGAAGGTATTCTCTAGAAAGGTGAGTGAGCATCCTTGTAGTTGTGGCCCTATGAACGTAAAGTGTTTGATTTCTTGTGAGAAATGAAGCGATAGAGATCGATCTATGGAGGATGTGGGTCGTTCTTTGAGGGATGAAAAAAATCCTAGTTTCTTAGACTTTTTGAGTACGGGGTTTTCTAAATTTTAGATTCCCGCGAGGTATTAAGGATGGAACACGATGTTTGATGAGATCGATAAGGAGGTCAGGAGTGGCGGGGAAGCGGATCAAAGAGGAGAGAGAAGGAGGGAGCAAGAGGGGAGAAGATGAAAGATAGAAAAAAGGTAGAAGACGACTTTTCAAAATTTTGGGGATTTCGTTTCCCACCTCTACTAAACGCGCCTTTTCATTAAAATTATAAACTGACAAATATAGAGGACACACCTTTAAAATAAAGCGCCCTCTGTGTTTTTAATTTCTTTTCGTGAGACACTAATTTAAGGGCACTCAGTAATGCGCGACCTAAATTCTTAAATTTTTTGAAGAGATGACTCTTTTTTAATGTCGCTCTCTAATTCTTAACATAAATCAAAGAGCATCGTGTTTTGCACGTCGTAAAAGGCTGTTTTTCTAGTAGTGGTTGGACCAAGTTATGGAAAGGGTAAAAAGGACTTTTACCCTAGTTTGGACTCTTAGTGTAGGTTAGGTTCTGATTATTGATTGGATGATTATTTTGTGATTGATAGTGCAGATATTTTAGCATTCTTTCTGTGAGATTCGACAATGCGAGGTGTGTTTCCTCACTATGTTTGGCGGGTCGATAGCACTAATGTCAGTTCATAGTTTGTTATGTACGGTTCTAGATATCTGTTTGACTCTTGCATGTGTATGCGCTTTTCTGCTTACTAGACGGGACCCGATGGTTATTATGTATGCTAGTATCTAGTAATGCATATATGATTTGTATGTGGGCGGGGCCCGTTATGTAAGTTTGAGCGGAGCCCTTATAATCAGTGTATGGGGCCCGATGATTTACGATATGTTATTATCTTTGTGATTTCGCATGTGTTTGTATGTTTATATGATTATATGTTTTATATGTTTACTGGGCGGGTCCCGATGATTGAAAATCTGTGTACTGAGAGGGCCCAATGACTAGGCGGGGCCCATTATATGTTTATCTATGTATATATGGTATGTGGTATTTTGGGGAACTTACTAAGTTTTGTGCTTATGGTTTTCTGTTTATGTTTTAGGTACTTCTATTTTCAAAGGGAAGAGATCAGGATGATTGCAGAACACACACCACTAGATTCCACATTATGTGCTTTACTCTGATAATGATGATGGTTTGATAAAACTTTGATTACCCTGGTTTTATGAAAATGATTTGATTTACTATTTTATTAATTTAAAAATGAAAATTTTGGGCCTTCTTTTTGGGACATTACAACAACTCACTAGATTACTTTTTTAGAAAACAAAATTTGTACAACAAAAAGAGGTTGTGTAACATCCCAAAAATCAAAGTAAATTTAATTTTTTTTTAAAAACAACCCCATAACAATAATTGTTTACAAAAACGTTGTTTCAAAAGTATAATTTATAAATCAGAGTATCACAGAATCCAATAACACAAAATCTGAAGGATGTGCACAATCACACATTCACCTTGCCATGACCATCTAAAGTACCTAAAACAACAACTAAAACTTTAAGCACAAAGCTTAGTGAGTTTCCCTAGAATACCACTACATAATATATAGCATCATGAATAATGGGTCCACAACTAATATACTAGATTACCCCTGCGCCCAGAGAATGAGTTTTGCTTTCCTTCCAGCTCATAGATCATGTTTTTCTTGCTCCCGAGCCCACAACATAAGTCTAGCTTTCCTTACTAGCCCACAAATTATGTATGGCTTGCTTCCAATCTCACAACATAAGTTTGGCTCGCCTTACTGGCCCACAACTTATGTTTGTCTTGCTCCCGGGTTGGTTGGCTACCGCGCAAAGCAGTACTACCTCAACCCAAACATACTATGTTGACATATACATAACATATAACATACATCCTGCAAAAAGATAAACATATAACCAATCATCAGACAAACAGGCAGACCTACAAATCACTTCCACATATTACATCCTATTTACTAGGATACCGATCTAACATATCACTATAACATATCGACATCATGTATTCCATGATACATATTCTAGTTGGTCGACATTGGTGCCTTCGACCCACAAGTACAGTGTGGAAAAACTCACCTCTCAGTCCGAACAAATAGCTGAATAAATCTCTGCTCTGAATACTAGCATTACCCGTCACCTATTATTCAAATCATGGCTCAACTTAACTTAATAACAAAATACCCAAAATACCCTTTGGTCAAAATTGGTCAAATCCTAGTTAAACTCGAAAAAGTCAATAGTCAAAGTTGGTCAATAGTGTTGAGTACGCCCAACGTACTTAATTTGTATGCTAAGTATACACATCTTGAGCACAAAAGCGGGTTGGTTGACCATGAACGCCCAACGTCCGTGACTGGGTCCTTTTCTTTCTTAATAAGAGCTTAATCCTTAAGATCTTTTGTCAAGCTTCCATATCCAGCCCACAAATAACATCTGAAACCATAAAGTTTCCAACTTTATAGTCTTGCATGATCATTAATTGCCCAAACACAAAAACTCCAACTACTTAACCCATTAAGACAACCTAGATCATGCATGAAAGGAAACTAATGATGAATACTACATTTTTATGCTTCTAATTACTCCAAAGACGTTTCAAAGGATAGCTTATATGGTTTAGAGTAACCCTTACTCATAATACCAAGCTTATGGGATCAAAATAACACAATATCATGGCTAAACTAGATCTAAGCATAACTTCATCATGTTCAGATCTTTTTACCTCTAAAAGATGGCAAATGATGTTGCAATCCTGGATGCAAAGTGTTCCACTCCTCCAAGATGATCTTCTTGAAGGGTTTTTGAGCATTCTAACACTCCTAAGGTGTACATGCAACCCCAGAAACCTTGGATCTATGTTTTACTAAGATACATGCAAATTTGATTTTCCAAGGTTCTTATCATAACTAGAATGTCATGGGGAAATTTAAGACATAAATGTTAGTAGAAGAACATACCTTTTAGTTGCTTGGATTTCTTGAGAACCTTGTGAGCCTAGCACCTCAAGTGTGATGCCTTAAATGTCTCACAAAACACCACAACACTTAGAATAACTTTGAGAGAAGTTCACTAACACTCAAAATTTGGCTAGCCCTCTTGTACTTGCTTGTAGTGCCAATTTTGCTAGTCATGGGGTCTTTATATAGTTGTATCACAAGTAGGGTTACACCATGTAAACCCTAATTGACACAGCTTTCCACATTCCGTGATCCATGGGTTTATAACTCCCATGGACTATCCATGGAGCACCTTATGGGTTTAGCCCAATTCATATAAACCATGGATCATTAGCCCACTATACAAGATTAGATGATTTGCACAATCATCCCCATATATTTAATTAGTCTCTTTTTGATCACTTAATTAATTCCAAATTAATTCTTTGATCAATATGGTATGTGGTACTTTGGGGAGACTCACTAAGCTTCGTGCTTACAGTTTTCAGTTTTGGTTTCAGGTACTTCAGCTAGCCAGGGGAAGAGTTCGGGATGACTGCATGGCACACACCACAACTTTTAGCCTAGGATGATTTACTCTGATATTTTGATATATGATTTTGATACAGTGATTGATATGATGTTTTGAAATATTTTCGCTTATGTTTTCATGAGATGATTTGGATTACTATGGTTTTATTTATGATTTAAAAAGAAACTTTTGGACCGTATTTTAGGGATGTTTGAAGTTGGTATCAGAACCTCGGTTTGAGGGATTCAGGCACACTTTCGGGTGTGTCTGAAATCAAACTAAGGAATTGGTATAGAA